GGCCAAAGTCAGTCTGGACTGAGATTCCCCGGAGAATGACATCAACAGACTAAAATAAAAGATTCAATCAGCCCCAGTAATGAAATATGATAGATTAGGAAATAATGGTTTAGGATGAGAAAAAGTGATGGTTCTTCTGCAAGGAAGCCAGGCCAGGCCTGAACAAAACCCACTCCTCACCATAGGAGGATGGCGTCCCTAACTTTGTAGAGTCCAAAAAAACCATCTGCTACTCATCCTGGGACAGGCTGAAAATCTAATTTGCCGATCAGGACAGCTTTGATCTGGCTTGGGGCCTGGTGTCATCTCCTGTTTTCTTCACTCTGATGGGCAGGAATGATATTTTCTTGAGCAATCAGAGGGGTTCTGAGGAGGAAAATTCTGTTTCTGATTTGGGTAGCGAATTAAGGGAATTTGGAGCGTGCAAGATGCGCCGCCGGGCTTGCAACCAGGTTCCGAGACATTCTTTACAGTGGAATCTAAACGTGAAGTGCTTTATTGTTCCGTTTTCACATACAGCATCTCTGGACTCCCTGCCCTGGGATGTGGGCCGAGTGCAACTTTTCCTTTAAATTACCATGTCAGATCTTGTATGCATGCGTTATGATTAATGGGGTTACCCCGTGTGGTTCCAGTTTTCAGAACATCATTTTTCTTCAAGATTGCATGCTCCTTGGTGGTCTTTGCCTTTTCTTTCTAAAGACACAAAAATTTCTCCGGTACTGTGGCTACTCTTAATGATGAAAACCCTGCCTTAGATCTTTCTGGTAATTTACACCTAAATATCTTTGCCACTGACAGTAACTTCCTCTTGAGATGACCCAGCTGGAATTTCCACTTAAGGCAGGATGAGAAGGGAGTGAGGATGTTTTTGTTTCTTTTCTCTCCATTCCTTCCTCCTCTCCATCACCTTCCTGTTCCACTCCCTTCCCACCCCTGCTCACTACTCAAGTTTCATCTCCTTGAAGTGGTTGGCGGGGAGGGGCGGCGGGGGGAGAGAGATAAAAACACAGTGGTGACTGGAATTCTGCAGTCCTACCTATATCAATAGCATTTATCACTAAATTGGTGTTTATATGGAAAAGCACTGAGTGGCTTTCTGTTTAAGTCTATTATTATATGTATAATATAATATATAGGTGTCTATACCTGATGTCTATATATAGATAGGGCAAATTCCGATTGCAAACCCGACATCCTAAAACTTTTATTGTTCATGTTTGGGATTGGCAGGAGGTGGTAATTTATTAGACTCAAAAATGCAACACACACTTGGCGTGTTTATTCTGGATTTGATTCTGTGCATTGAAAGTGTCTGAAGAATAAGGAAAGGAAGCCAAGTGGGAAAACATCATGAAAAATTTTGAATCCAGGCACTAGTCATTGAAAAAAAAAAATAAAACTTGGCAAAGGAACGTGACCATGAGGGTGAGGTAAAATGGGAAGAATGCAGCAAGGCCATCTTTCAACAAGAGCGTATCTGAAAACAGGGAAACCGGCTGCTCCTGGGCTGTTTATGCATTGATTTAGGGATCAGGCCTTTGGAAAATAGGGCTGCAGATTTACCCATCATTTCAAATGAAGTAGAAATACCTTTTCAATGATCCACCAGTCCCACTTCGGGTACATATCTAAAATAATTGAAAACAGAATCGCGAAGAGATATTTGCACACCCATGTTCATTGCAACATTATTCACAATACCAAGAGGGGGAAGTAACCCGAGTGCCCATTGACAGATGGATTAATAAAGACAATGTAGCATATACATACAATGGAATACTATGCAGCCTAAAAAGTGGGAAATCCTACAACATGGATGAATCTTGAGGACAGAATTTTAAGTGAAATAAACCAATCACAAAAAAAGACAAATGCTGTATAATTCTACCTATAACAGGTACGTAAAGTAGTCAAACTCATAGAAGCAAAAGTGGAATGGTTGTTGCCAGGGTTGGGGGGGAGGGGAAAAAGTGGAGTTACTCAGTGGGTAGAGTTTCAGTCATGCAAGATTAAAAGTTCTAGAAATCTGTTATACGGCAATGTGCATATCCTATATAATAAAAAGCTAATATGCAAATCAACTGAACGGCGGAACGACTGGTTGCTATGACATGCACTGACCACCAGGGGCAGACGCTCAACACAGGAGCTGCCCCTTGGTGGTCAGTGCACTCCCACAGGGGAAGTGCCACTCAGCCAGAAGCTGGGCTCATGGCTGGTAAGTGCAGTGGCAGTGGCAGGAGCCTCTCCCACCTCCCCTGCAGGCGGGCGGTAAGGAGTGAGGGGTCCCGGACTGCAAGAGCCCCAGACTGCTAGAGGGATGTCTGACTACTGGCTTAGGCCCAATCACATGGTTGGG